GTCTAGCAACAAAGGAAATTTATTTCAGTTTGTTCAAAATTGTCCGAAAAATGAAATAAATGCAAAGTGCTGTTGTTAGAAGATCATGTTAAAGTTATCACAACAGCAATTAGCGGCAAAGTTTAACTGTGGGGAAAAGAAATTGACTTTACCGTAGACCTACAGTATTTTCCTTGGGAGTATAAAATATTGTACATGATACAATTAATCGGCTGATATCATCATTTGATAAAATTTATTTTTATTTATTTATTTTGAAGCTCATATACAGTATATGTGCGATATATAGTTTCTGTATCAACCTACCTTATTTCCACGATATTTTTAGAAAAATAATATCCAAGTAATTTTTGCATGCAAAATATTCAAAAAAACAATAAACACATTAATGCAAAAATCAGTTTTACATGCAATTTTCCTTTTTCGATTCTGCAATGATAATCACAGAATGTAATGAAATCATATAATGAGTAAAAATAATAAAATCATTTTATTATTAATTAATAATTTTTCTTATTGTACTTAAGGAAATATTAAATATTAAAAAATACAGTATTTTTAAAGTTAAAATAAGATTAAACTAACGAATACCAAAACCAAAGTGATGTAGAGATACAACGCGTTTGTATATCGATGACGTAATACACGTAACTGAGGAGCAAACAAAAACAACCAAGTTGAATTAATTAAGTCGGAAAAAAAGAAAGTGTGCATTATAATCAAGAAAATGCGACTATTGTATTAATCTTTAAAATATTGGTATTAAATCTCTCTTATAAAATCACAACTCCTGTAAATCAAGTTATCCAATAAGAATAAAATACAATACCAATATATCCCTATCATTGAAAAAATTCACTTATTTTTGCTCACCTTGAGTTTTGCTTAGTAGAAATGGCTAAAAAGTGTGCAAAATATATATGGAAATACCGTATTACAGCACCACCTGTATTGGACAACAACCTGTCTAAAAGAACGCTTTTTGAATGAAAGTCTGTCTATGGTGGTTGCCATAGACAGGCTTTACTGTATTTATAAAATTTAAAACAAAAAGTTGTTATAAAATCATTGTTTTGTAAAGTAATAATGCTTTAATAGAATAATCTTATGTTAAAGTAATAGGGAATTGAATTACTAATTACAACTTTATAATACAAACATTTAATTTTATTTTAAGCTATGATGAAAGTTTATGGAGACGATTAGATCTGGGAAGAAAACATTTAGAACCAGGTGTATTAGGAAGAGTAATTGATAGAGGAGTAATTGTATTAAGGCTAGCTATGTCAGAAGTAAGTATTAAAAGAATTTTCAAAAGATTTAAATAAATATAAATATTTATACATAAACAAGCTTGATTGATATATGTAAATATTGATTTTTGTATAATTCAATAGTCAGTATTTTTCCAAATTCTTAGTTTGATTTTCACACTATTTTTTGTAATAATTTTTATTTGGTTTTATTACAATTGAATCCAAAGCCCACTTTCAGAATAATTTGAATTTTGTTTTACAATTTTTAAATCTAACAAATATATTATAACTATAATTTTCATCCTCTCTTTATCTAAAAGCAGAATGTTTCTGAAATAGAAAATACCAAATTATAATTACATAATTTATTATATCTTAAAGAAAACTGGAGTTAATAACTTGTAAGGGCTTACTTTTAGATGGCTATCAACAATTAAAGAAATAAAGAAAATGTACTTTGCATATCAATTTCATATAAATTAGAAAAACACTTTCAAAATTTTCATTTGAAGAAATTTCATGTAATAATCTAAAATTATGCTTAACCACTCAACAGTGAGGGATGGATATATCCATCCAGTTAACAATAAAAAAAGACTTTTCTTTACTAGACATAACTGTTTACAAAATCTTTTTCTGAAACAGTAATGAGAAAAAACACGTGGAAAAATACTTTAAAAATTTCCCACATTTATTTTCACTACTTTGGGATAGCACCATACCTGACTATCCCATTGCTGAAAGGTTATTAGTGCCAAAATTAAATCACAAAAAATACATTTGCATACATCTATGAAGATTCAAAATAAAAAAAAATTGACAAATTAGCAGCTATAATGACTATAATAATAAAATTTAAAACTTGTAATTCAAAATTTTTATGCTTTATGTTGCAGAAATGTTTTGATTGTATCAAATTATTAGACAATCGTTTGATTTGTAGAACTGATGTGCAACGAAAATTGATTGCAATAAAGAGCTAGAAAATTTTGAAACTTTTTGGAGAAATGAATTTGATCTTTTTTCTTAAAATTATGTATGTTTTTTGGAATTAAGAAGTTATAATAACTATATTTAGGGATGAAATAGAACTTTATTCAAAAGGACTTGAGTTTTATTAAAAGAATTAACTTCACGTGTTCTGAATTAGTTATACACTGAGGGAAATGCTTTGACCTTGTGACTTTCTCTTACTACTTCAGTTTTGGCAGAATAGTGTTTTTCATTGAAATTTTTCAGTTGTATCTGTCGCATAATTAGCTTTGTATATTGAATAATGCAGGATTAAAATAATTCTGGAAAATTTAAAATGGATGAATTAGTCTTTGTCTGAACATGTCTTCTTTGGTACAGATATATGTAAAAACAAAATGTTCCTAGAGCATATATATAAATGTCAAGAAATCTCTAAAGCAAAACAATAATTTTTGTTAACATTCAAGTCTCTTAATCTCACAATTGCAGCAGACTAGATTAATTATCAGGCTAGAACTTGAATAATGAATATCATAGATAACATGTACTTTGAACTAAAAGTAGGTGGTTAAGTTGTATTAAATAGAAAAATTATATTCATATTTTGAATTAGATTATATAATTTACATTATTCCGGAAGAAAAGATCAATCTGGAGTGAGACTTGAACCTGCAACTTCTGCTTAACACAAAGATGCATTGCTGGATCTCCAATTTGATTTTTGCTTCTAGATGAGTTGATTTAAGAGATAAAAGTGAGGTCACTTGTATTTCTTAAATTAAAGGCTTTCTATACATATAAGTAGTGAGCATTTATCTGTAGTTTAAAAAGTATAATTTTTTCATTCTTATGCAAAACTGATTTTCTTTATGAGCATTAATTAATGTGTTTATTTCTGAAAATTTGGTATATGATTTATGAAATGTTTTATGTTATATAGACTAATGCATAATGCATATTAAATTGAACTATATTTTTGTTGTTATATTATCACTTAATGATATAAAATAAATTTTTAATTTTTACAAAGAAATAGGGTTTTTTTTTCTAATATAAATGAAACTAACAAATAATTTTTTTTTGTAATTAGATACTTACTCCTATTTTTGCTGATTTATTAGTTGTGAAAAACAGAGAAAGGTAAAATGAATTAATTATTTAGATAACAAATAAAAATAATTAAAATCATTATATTAAAAAATTTATATATGTATAAAAAAATTCATTTATATTACAAATAATTTCTACTCTTAGATACTTCAATTAATTAACATGTTACTGGAAAATATATATAAGAAATTTTAAAATATTCATAGTTCTCAGTATTGAGGTCAGCTGATAATTCATAATACAGTGATATCTCATATTAATAAATCTGGGTAGTACAGAGGGATTTGATTGTTTATTGAAATGAATTTCTCACAATATGCAATATTCCAAGCAACTAAAGTTGGATAAATTATAATAAAATTTCAAGAGATATATTTAATGTATATTTCAACATAGAAGTATCCAGAAAATTTAAAAGTGCATCATATCTTAATTCTTTTAATTTTGCATGGATATCATTGACAATTGAAATAATATAATAATAAATTTACATATTAACATAAATTTAAATTACTTTTAAGGTAATAGATTTCATTTATTTAATTACACATAAATTTTTAATTATAGTCAAAACTATTCCTTGAAGTATTTTGAAACAAATTGGTTTTATAAAATGAAACTTACTAAACATATAAAAAAATTTCACATATCATTATTTTAATAGTTTTCACATTAAATTTCCTAAAACTAAATCGTAAAATCTGTAGCTTTATGGATGTTTCTTAATATAAAATAAAACAGTTTATGCTTTTAAAATCATAATTAATATGTATAAATTTAAATAAGTGTATTAATGAAATGAAAAGATTATTTAAAATTATTTGGCTTTTAGATGTAGCAAATTACAGTATTTGGATCTGAGTATGGCATCAATAAATTCAGAAGGATTGCAAGAAGTGCTTTCAGTTTGTTCGCAGTTGAAAAATGTTAGTTTGGAACATTGCCAAATCAATACTGAAGTTTGCTTGTAAGTATTTAAAAATAAAGAATATATTTTTATATGAAATGAAGTTTTCAATTATGAATGATTGTTGAAATATTTTAATGATAATATAACATAAAGTAAATAGTTATGAATATTTAAAAAAATTATATTTATTGTAATTTTTATAATGAAGTACAGTTATCAACAGTGTTTCTTTATTACAGTAAAGAATCAGTGTTTCCCAAAGTGAAAATATATTGAGGTTGTGACAAGGTTTTAGGTAGTCACTAAGGCTTTCAAAATTAAATAAACATTAAGAAAAATTTGTTTTTATCTTTACTTTTTGGAAAATATAATTAACTCTGAGAAAAGATATATTCAAAAAACAAAAGTGTTGACTTTTGCCTCTTTGACACTTAATAACAAAAAAGTACTTTGATATTTTGGGTGCTGTTTTTTGGAATATAAAGTCACACAGTTGCTTGATATTTTTCTAGAGTTTGGTGGATTTTGGTTGAACTATAGAAAAGTTATATGAGTTGAAAGGAAAAAAAAAAAAAAAACAGATTTATGTCCCTCATCCCCACTAGATAGCGCCATGTTACCTAGCTCTTTGATTGCTTCTGCTGTAACTGCATACCCAGGTCTGTACCAATTTAAAGGAAATGTTATTTCCTTTCGTCAGCAGGTCAGCAGTTATGGTCAATTCCTTCCTCTCATCCTATTGGAAATTTTTGACTTTCATGTAACTATTTCAAATATATGTGTTTTAGTCATGTTGAGCAACTCATTGATGTTATGTTTCAGATGCAGTTCCCTCAGTCCAGACTGGACAAAATCTCAAACACAGCTGCTTTTAACAAGCGACTCCAATTTATCCAAGATTTTTCCCACTTAATTAAATGCAAACTGATTTTATTTTATTCATCTTTTTATTTCCTATTTTTTAGTTTAGTTTAGTTTATTTATTTACTTTACTTAAGTTTAACCACTTAACGTCCACACCTGAGTTTATTTCTTTATTACACTTTTTTATCTGTACTTTTCATCATATTTTTTCTTTTCTCAACAATAAATCACTTAAATCTTTCATTTGTGACATATTACTCTCAAAATGCTTGCCCAGGCTAACTACATCATCTCAACTTTCTTGATGTCACCTATCTAGTTGTTAAAATACTATTGTAATACTAATCTTTCTTAAAGATTGGGTTTTTTTTTAAAGGGCCAAATCTAGTTGAAAAATCCAGTGTGTGTTTCCAAAATGGTTGCCTGTAGTTAATAAAATATCATTCTGAAAGACTTAGATATGTTGATTGGCATTCGAATTATCAGTAAAAAAAATATATTTACACACAAACTTTCTTGGAGAAGCTTTCCTATATCATGATAGAATCTCCATTTTTTACAGTAGATACAGTACATTACACTGAAATTGATTTTCTTTCCCTGCTTTATATGGAATACTTGAAATAATAAATTGTATAATGAAGTCAATTTTTTCTCTATTTCAAAAATAGAGTAAAATGGGCATCATTTTTTCTAAAGAAGAGAAAATTAAAAGATGCTTAGTTACAGAAAAAGTAAGGTAATTTTCAAAATTCTTTTGCGTTTTGTAGTAAATTTGTACTTATGAATATGTACCAATTTATAGTGAAGCATTTAAAAATGAATTTTAAATTATTTTTAATGTTTTATAGTAAAGGCAATATTTGTATATTTATTTCAAAATTTTAGATTTGATATGTTGAAATTGTTTTCAGAAATATTTCTTATTTGGGTAGGTTTAATCCATACAATTCAATATTTGTATAAGATACAGATCGAGATATACATTGGGCAGACAGATCGAGATATAAATAAACCATTAGATAAATATCATTTTAATATTTATTATATTATAGCATTTGATTTATAGACATACAAAGATTATCTGACACAAGGGTTTATCACACCGAGTGACCAATCTAATACATTTTAAAAATTATTTATTCATGTACTGTACACAATTTAAAGAAGTTTTAAAATGCATGACATTAGGAACTTGGTGTTTCAAACCCTTAATTAAGATAACATTCATAGTTATATAAATCAAATACTATAATATAATATAATAGAATAGAATAGTTACAAGTATGAAAGAATCTAATATTCTTAATGTTTGTTGTTATTTTTTGTTCGAGCAATGCTGGGCTCATCTGCTAGTTGCTTATAAATTAGGTAAGCCATTGCAAGTCAAATGTCAAAACCACTGCTTAGTCTTTACTTCTAAAGGGCATGTAATTACTTGTAAATTAGGAAATGGTTATACAGTAGAACCTCGATTATCCACCCTAATTGGGGACTGGGGTTGGTAAGATAATTGAAAAGTCGGATAACCGAAAAGTATGAAAAAATCCATTATTAGTGTAGTATATTATTATATCCCATGTAATTAGTGTAGTATATTATTATATCCCATGTAATTAGTATATTAGTATATCGCTATTAACCTATTTTGCGTTGAATTTTCGATGTTAAGCCTAACAAAAATTTTTTAAAATAATAATCGTCGCTATTGTAGCGCCACATCACTAGCGGACATTTGAAATTTGCCGACTAGGACAATCGGTTAACCGAGGGGTCGGTTGATCGGGGGGCGGATAATCGAGGTTCTAATGTACTATTAGCCATTGGAAAAGTTAAGAATTTTTAGATACATAAGTAAAGAAAATAATAATAAGGCTTCAGTCTCCTTTTATTTTAATTTTATTTTTTTGATTAAGCAAAGAAAATCTTGTATAAAAACTTATTAATACATACCTGTAGAAGCATTAAAAATCTAGACTGATTGGGACTGGATCCCATCTGGATTTTCAAACATACTGTCATTTAAATTTAGATGGTTTAAGTTCAAGCTAGTATTTCACAAGGAATGTAGGAATGCTTGCAAAGATTTAAAATATAATTTACAGAATCACTATACAGTGGAACCTCGCTTAACGAGCATAATTCGTTCCTGAATCGTACTCATAATGCAAAACACTCATTAAACAAAACAATTTTTCCCATAGAAATTAATGTAAAATGCAATAATGTGTTCCATGTCGAAAAAAGTACTCAAATATTTGTATAACGTTTATTCAAAGAAAATTGTATGATGTGCATTGTTAGAGTGTGAATCATCATCATTTTTTTCCTAGCATGTAATGAACCAACCTGGAATGAGAATTCAATTTGCAGAAGACAAAAAAAAATCACAAATATGTTTGATAAACACTCCAAACAATATGCAAAATTATTGGGCTATGTAAAGGCTATAATTAAATAATAGAAATTAATTAATTTGACTAGAGGTAGGCAGTTATGATTTCATCTCGTATTAAATTTAATAATTAAAAATTGTTAATTTTTAATTCGGACATTTCTAAAATTTAATTTGAATTTCATTAAATTTAATATGAGATGGCAGCATAACTGCCTACCTCTAGTCAAATTAATTAATTTCTAATATTTAATTATAGCCTTTACATAGCCCAAGAATTTGGCATAACATTTGGTGTGTTTATTATATAACAGGCTATGGTTGTTGATATTTAAAAGTAATATGTGTGAACACAAGTTTGGAAAAATATGTGATCACAAGCGACACCAAGATGCTAATGGAACAAGTGATAAATACAGACTGGTGGAACGTGCACACAATTAGTGACTTTCCCTCTCCTCATCACTCGTTATACAAAACATTGCTTGTTAAGCAAGGCAAATTTTTACAATTTGATTTGCTCATTATACAAAACACTCGTTATGCGAGGTGCTCATTAAGCAAGGTTCCACTGTATTTAAACAAAAAATACACTAATAATAAGTTCAAAATTATGAAGTTATGTATTCTGAATGAATGTTAGAACATTAACAATACAAGACCAAAACATCATCAATAACGGTTGAAAGGTTTAATATCCTTTTTTCAATGGCCAAATCCAGATTTTTGATGCTTTACTGTAATTACAGCTAATCTACAAGGGTCATTTGATAAGTTATTGCAACTATTTTTTATTTCAAAATCTGTAAGAGATTTTTAAAATAAGCAATGCACATGAAAACTAAGTTATATTACAAAATTTTTGAGACAACTTTGAAACTGATATATGCAATATTAATGCCATAATGATGCTTTGAAGTGAGGCATCTCACAAGAACTGCCTGGACTTTTGAGAATTATCATTAGTGAAGGAGCGGTGACATTATCTAAAAATTGTTATTAAATGTTGATTAATCGAAAAACAGTGTCATAAGGAACTAGTAGAAGCTGAAGGCAATAATGCTCTCCCATATCAAATGGATAGACAGTGGGGCAAATATTTTTAAAATGGAAGATATTGAAAGACAAATGAACAGTAGGCATTCATCAATAAAAATTAACAATTTGTCAATTGTAGCCATTGTGCATTGCCTTGAGATTCATTGGTGATGGAACTGTTAATTTAGCAGCAGAGACTAATCTTACTGTCCATCACATTCTTTTGAAAATATTGTTCTTGGTAGGTACCTTGTGTCTTGATGAATGTGTGGGGGGAAAATGCATGGAATATATGATAGATTACTTTAAAGGACATTGATAAGGTGGGTCGTTTTTTTTATTGCATCATAATTCACAAAAGTTTAGTGTAAGTTTCTCATTGTGCTTTGTAATTTTTACAAATTTCTCATTTCTGGTCAAGTATCTATGAAGTGTCAACTTTGTGACATCACTGTGATAGGTCTATATTTGTCAAATTTGTGTCAAAAATTTTTTGAAAGTGAAAACACTCACAAATCTCATATTTTTGCAGAAAAACTATTGTTGTCATGACTTATCAAATGACTTCTGAATAACAACTAAACAGTAAAAACTCAAATCTTAAATTCTATCCACCATCCTATATAATATAAAGTATTTCCTATTCCTAAAGTTGACCAATTCATGTTTCATTCCTTAAGTTGAACTAGTCAAATTTGCAAGTGCCAACCAATCTGTTAAGCTTCATGAATTCTTTTCGCTTATCCCAGAATAAACAGCATTAATACAGCTAGATAAATAAGCAAATGACATCAGAGTTGTCAATTAGCAGAAAATCTATTAGCTTTCCTGTAGCATTATTGAGTAGTCTTAGAAGTTGTTCTCTGCCTGATGAAAATGTTAGTGGTTTTTTTTTTTTTGTCATAATGGGAGAGAAGGAATACTATGAAATCTAAAGTTTATTTTAGTGTTTTGTTTTATAATTTCTATTGGAGAATTTTTCTCATAATTTGTATTTCTATTTGGAGCAGAGTTCTTAGTTCATGGAAGCCATCTTGAATTTTGTCTTCAGTCCTTTATGAACTCTCTTACATTAATAAAAATTTATTTGCAGATTATTAAATTTTCTACTAGATAATTTATATAATTTATTATGCAAAATTTGAGTTTTGAATAACTTCAATTTATCATAGATATATAATTTTGTGATATTATATTTATTTAAATGATTATTACAGCTTCATAAATTGTTTTAATAATGATGCAAATAAATTTCATAGACTTAAATATATCACAGAATTAATTCTTTATTCTACTGCTTTGTACTGTAGAATAAAGAATTAGACTTTGTTCTGAATAAAACTTTGCACCACTTTTTACATACCAGTTTGAGTTATAGTGAGTTCTATATGTAGAATTCTCCATAATTCAAACTGGCTACTCATGTCTCAAAACATCAAAAAACACGGTCCCTTCAAATTCAAGATTAGATATTTTACTGTATTTTGTAAAATTAAAACTTGTAATCTAATTTGTGTTGTTGTGTTCTAGTTATAAACGTGCATATGATTATAAACTGTTAACAAAAGTGTGTGTGGTCTGTTAACAAAGGTCTGCAGGAATGTACATTTTCTGATATTTTGAAGAAACAACAATCAAAAGAATATAGATTATACAACACAACTGTCTAGTAGTAAAATAATGGTTGTTTCTACTAATTCATTCACAATAACAAGCAGATAACCATTAACTAATTAATTAAATATGCAGTAACTAACATTTATACTAATTATCTAATGTTTTCGGTCCTTTTGATTGACTCTATTCAGGAAATACATAAAATTAAAAATTTTCATAAAAGAACAAAGCTGTTCATATTCCAAAAGTAGAAGCTTATAGCAATCATTTTAAAATACAATATAAAGCTATAATTTTAAGCTAATATAAGCTATAAGCATTTTAAAATACTATATAAAGCTGAAAAACCATATTTTTTCTTTGTCATGTATGGCAAAAATGGCCATTAGGGGTGTTTTTTCTATAATTTACTGCCTTTCTGTAGTCTTATTGAATGTGCCATGCTTTCGCGTATTTAATCTATTACTTATCCTGCATCTTTTGGATCATTTCAGCTCGGTTTCATTCTATTGTTATGGAATCTGGGTTCACTGTGTTGTAAGTTGCTAAGGCTAATCGGCTGCTCCTTTTGGATGCTACTTTTATGTTCTTTGATTTTCTGTTTTAGTGATCTAGTGGTGGCTCCTATGTAGCATAAGGTGTTAGGCCTTCTGCAGTTTTTTTATAGATATTCTGTACACAACAGGAATGCATGTCGGGTTAATGGCCTCTTTGTCGTTCCTTGGCATCCCATATACCATGAGTTTTTTTAAATACAATTTTTTGTTAGTTTCAACCCTGATTTCTCTGTAGATATTTTGGAGGGTTGCCATGTATTCAATGTTAATGATTATAAATGTTTTACTTCTAGAATAACCAAAACGGTGCTTACTTCACTTTAATTTGTTTCACTAACGTTTTCGAACCTTTTGGTCCTTCTTCAGGTGAAAAATGGGCAAAATTTAAAGGCACAGTATATAAACAAAGAAGGGGTGTACCAATGGGGAGCCCAATCTCGGGAGACCTGTGTGAAATGGTGATTAGACTCCTGGAGGATAAAATACTTCCTGACCACCTACACAATATAATTATGTATAAAAGGTACGTGGACGATATACTCATACTATGGAGCTGTAAGCCTGATATGCCGGCATTATTAGCATCGTTTAATAACAACCCTTACGGATTGACGCTGGGTCTTGAACAAGAGAGCTACACCCAGGTTCATTTTCTTGATGTCAGCATCAAGGTTAAAGGTTCGACCATCAGCACGGAAGTATACAGAAAACAGCTAGTAGAACAATTATACATTCCGGTAAGATCATGTGACCCGAAGCAATACAAAGTAGCGGCATTTAACACCTTGGTTAAAAGGGCTTATACGCACTCTTCGACATCGCATGCATTTAAAACAGAAATAAACATACTTAAAAGTATTGTTGAACGGCATGGGTATAGTGAACTGGTAACTACATTAGCCAAAAAAATGATTCATCCGCAAAGAACAGATCGTCCGGAAACGCTAGAGAAAGAACAGAAGGAAAGAGTGGCTATAACGTATAATCCGTATTTGGAGAAACTATATAAAGAGATAGCTAAGAAAAGACAAGTTTCCATCGTATTTAGAAGAGGTCCTACATTATTTCGACTGCTTAGTAATGCAAAAGATACTCCGCAACAAGACATGATGGCTGGAGTATACAGCATCCCAATTAGGGATCGCAGATGCGATGAAGAATTGTTATATATCGGCTCCACGAAGAGATCTTTAGGAGTGAGGATTAAGGAACATAAAGCTGATATCCTCCAAAAGAGGCTAACAACCGCCTTAGCACAGTACGCCACGGACCCTGAGATACAACCGTTATTTGAGCAAGCAAAGATAATATACACCACGCACCAAACACAATATTTGCGCTTGATGGAAGCGATTTTTATACACAAGGCAACTCAGGGTAACAATTGTATAAACAGCAAAGATGAAATATCATTATCAGTAGCGTGGCAAACCCTGATATATGACACATAACAGGAGGAAACATAGGCTCACAACGACGCATGCGCAAAGGATGACGACGATTGCACGAATTTCGGAGAGATTCCATGTTTGGAATTCTTTTAAAAAAAAAGATCATTTCAAATCGAATCTTAACGGATTTTGCCCATTTTTCACCTGAAGAAGGACCAAAAGGTTCGAAAACGTTAGTGAAACAGATTAAAGTGAAGTAAGCACCGTTTTGGTTATTCTAGAAGTAAGTCTGTTGAAGATACGGTGTGTGTTGGAAGTAGTATTGATTATAAATGTTAGTTACTGCATATTTAAAGGTTACGTGTTTGTTATTGTGATAGTGCAGTTATAGAAAGGATTAAGGATTAATTCATTCACTTTTACAAACTTCATTTTAATCATACAAATTCTACAATATTTATAGCCATAATCAGAATATTATACTAATTAAATTATAATTTTTAAAATTTACAAAATAAATGTGAAAAACTAAAAATAAAATGTAAAGACATTTTATTCTTACTTTTTTATTATATTATCTTCAAATCCAATAAATGTGNCTAATAATGAAAATGCTTTCAATTATTCAAACCTTTTTTTCTCAAAAATTTATGTAATTTTCCAATGTTATATTGTTATTTATTTTATATTATCAAAATTAACATGCAAAAGGATTTAAGGATTGCTTATTTTAAGAAGTTAATGCTTTTTATAGAATTATCATATTGTTTGTGAAGAAAGCTAACAATAGATAATGACTTAAAAAGAATAACTTAATTGGTATAATATCTGATAATGAAAATGCTTTCAATTATTCAAACCTTTTTTTCTCAAAAATTTATGTAATTTTCCAATGTTATATTGTTATTTATTTTATATTATCAAAATTAACATGCAAAAGGATTTAAGGATTGCTTATTTTAAGAAGTTAATGCTTTTTATAGAATTATCATATTGTTTGTGAAGAAAGCTAACAATAGATAATGACTTAAAAAGAATAACTTAATTGGTATAATATCTGAATTACAGATATAAAATTAGAATTTGTGTGATTAAAATGAAATTTTTAAAAGTGATGGTTGCTTCTGCTGATTTACTATTTTTTCAGTACTAAATGTTATGTATTTCTTTGATTTTTATTTCAGAAAAAACAAGGAAAATTTTATTAAGCACAGTTTGATAAGTTTAATTTTATTTTGTTTTTGCTGATGCTGAGATAAATTTAAAATGCATTTTAAGTTTTTTGACTATATATACCATGTACAATATATTCTTAAAATGAAAATACCAGTAACATTGTTAAATAATAAAATGAAATTATTTTTTTTTTTCAATTTAGTCAGTTAGCAGAAAATATAGACTTAAAAGTATTGAATATGACCATGTGTGAAGGCATAACAAATGAAGGTATAAGCAGAATTCTACAGAAGTGTCGGAAGTAAGTATTAAATTATTTTCTTAATTATAATACAGTATTGTCTGCTTATTATCAGTTGTTTAATGAATGCATCAAAATTACCATGCTCCAAAACATAAATTTATGCCCACCCAGTATTTTAAGTCCCTGTCTATTTTAATGAAACACATTGAAATTTATAATTAATTTAATTACAGAATGAAAGATTAGTAACAATTGTTGAATTATCACAAGTATCGTACATGATGACCACCATTATTTCTTCATAGCTTAAATTGTTTGATGACGCATACCTTCATGTAAACTGTTCAGAGTCATAATATTTATGTTGTAGACTTGTGATTTGATGTGTTCCAAGCAAAGAAATCCAAAGGAGTTGGATCTGGTAATCTTGTTGGCCAAAGTCTGTTACTTCCATGCCCATTCCATCGATTTGGAAATCATTCATTCAGGTAATTCTGAACAATTGATACATAATGAAAAGGTGCACTATTTTTTTGAAATGCAACAGTGTTAGTTATCTCATCTTCAACCAAAGTGCAAAGAATTGCTGCAACATGTCAAGATAAATCCATTTGTTTCAAACTTATTTCTGATGTCATTGCACTTCTTCCTTGATTTGCCAGATAACTATTGCTACACACTTCTATGTTCCATTTTTAAGAATCTGAAAAAGAAAAATATAAATTAATTAATTTACATAAAAACAGATTAAGATGTTGGTTGTCCACTCTGTGTACACTTATAAAACTTTGCTCATTATAACCAAAGTTTGATTATTGTTAACATTTCTTCCAAAGAAGCAACTTGTATTTCAATTAAAAATAACAAAGTGCAAAATTAAAATTATCTAAATTGTAAAAAGTACCAAATGATGAGATGTATCATCATTTGGTAATCTGCATCCTGAGTTATTGAGCCTACCTCATTCCTGAAAATCTCATAATTCAAAATCTTATAAATAGGAATTGGTTTAAGTATTATTTATTATGGCCAAAATTTGCATATTATTCCAGCATAATTGGGAAACATGGAAGTGTGACTGCGTTAATATTAAAATGTTACAAAATACATATTTACCTGTCAATGATTCTAAACAGAATATGTTGATTAATAAAATAGTGTTGATTAGATTATTCACTGACATAAGAAGAACCAAGACAGAATGAGAGAAACAAGAAAATGGACACCATGAAAACCTTTTGACAGCAGGAGAAATATGTTTAATTGATGCAAATGTTCTTGGTCATTTTAAAAGATCATCATCCAGCAATCAAACAAATCAAATACAACCAAAATAAAACATTAGAGATGACTAGGAATAGAACAAAATACTAATGTGAAAAAATATGGATATACAGTAGACCCCCTATAAAACGGGTTCATATGATATGGGTTCGTATATAATGGCGAAAAAATTGCGATTGTATTCGTATAAACACGCTAAAACAGACTCGTATAATACAATAAAAAGTCATCGCCAATTCATGTCATGATGGGATTGGTCAAATCTAGTCCAATAGCGGATATTGTACAAACTGTTGAGTTTAAACAAGCAGCAGACCTATTAAAAACCATTTATTATTTAACGGTCATAAAAATTATATTTATATTAATGATGTCACCAAAGTTCAGCAAATTTTTCACAGAAAAATAACTTATCAGGAAACACGCACCCGCCGTTCGATGTGCTGCTCCGCAATGAAAACAAGCTTAAGCAATGGCGTCGTCGAACGGTGCACACTCAGTAAGTAACCCTACAATTTTTGTTTATAGAATAGTTTATATGGATTATTCCCAAAAAATTATACGTGTTTTGGAAATGTTGAGAATTGATTAATTTTATGGAAGAAAACCTTTCAAACAGCCATAGTCTGTAAACTGCATATGTGCCATGCTGTGATTGGCTCATGTATTTAAGTGACTGGTAAAACACGGAATTCATATAAAACGGAACGTATCTACTGTGTTATAGCAGGGTCTACTGTAATTTTATGAGATAATAAAATAATTGATTAGACCAATGAAATTATAAACTCAAAAAATTTTATGTAAATAATCTAGAATTATTATTTGGATGATCATCATATCTGTTAAGATAGAATCATCTTTCTGTGCATTTAGGAACATTCTCTTAAACACTATCAACTCTCCTGACAAACACTGCAGAGACATTTTGGAATTGCTCACATAGTTTGTTTCTTATCTTATTTTCAACTTGATGGTAATACTTATAGCCAGAAAAGGAGTGTTTCAATGAGCAGCCCCCTGGCAGGCTTCTCTAAATTAGTAGGGCTTTTAATTAGTAATAAAGCCAAATACTTTTCTTTAAAGTAATATCAGAACTATACAAGCAATATTATAGAATGTTAAATTCAATAATTTTCTAAAACAATTGTAAACTGTGCTTTTCTAAAACAATTGTGTTTTATTTAAGAAGTTATAAATTTCTTGCACAAAGATTAGAATAATTAATTTGTAGTTCTGTTTAAAATTGATTAATTAATTTTGAATAGTTAATAAAAATTTGTTGAACTTTTTGCTAATGTATATTGTAAAATCATTCAACTAAAAATAAATATAAAATTCCATTAAAAAAACTGGTGGAACCAGATTGAAAGTAAAGCTCAACAAAAACATTAAATAAAGAAACTTTTGAAAACAAAAACACCAAGATGATTTTTATAAATAATATTTCATAAATGTTAGATAAATGAAAGAAAACAAACATTTTCAGTTGCTTTCAGCTTCCTATATCATAGTATGTAATGTGCACTTTATTCATATGTTGAGTATTACTGTTAAATCTGCTTCCAGTATTCTTATGCCATAATTTTCAATATGTTTTTTTATTTAGATGTTTTCATGAGTTTTACTTTTCAATTTTGTTTCATTAGTTTCTTAATGGGAATTCAGGTATTTTTCAGTCATGATAGCTTGCAGTAAGTTGTGCTGTGTGATGATTGTCAAATAATCAACTAATATGCAAAAATTTAAAAATAGGATATTATTTTAAGTATTGTAAGTATAAGCTATTAATTTAAACATGCAGACTTCCAGATTGTTCAGTAGCTTGGTGTTGTTATTCTCTTTTGTTTTAAATTTAGGAAACAAAATGCTGACCTCATAATTCCAAAATGATCCAATGAATTTACAGTGGGTGATTGGTTAACGAACATAATCCGTTCCAAGACTTTGTTCGCTATCCAAATTGTTCATTAACGGATTATCGATTTATTGGGTTGTTTGGAAAGTAATTTCATCTTTTTATTACTAGAGGAATTAGATGTATTTTTACCAGTCAATTTCATTTTAAACCAAACTTCATTATATACTTTGATAGTTGAGATTTTAAGGCTTATCTGTAAAAAATTTTGTTTGATTCTGTACAATTTTTTTTTTTTGGTGTCTTATTAAATATGGAAAATCGAAAGCATCATTTTTGGCATATTTTGCTTTTTTATTACCAAAAAATCAAAATATTATTCAAGCAAGAAAAACATTGTGGTACATGTATGGAGATGATGTGTTGAGAGAATGACAGTGCCAAAACTGGTATACAAAATTTTGTTCTGGCAATTTCAATATTGAAGATGCACCACGTTCTGGATGGCCAGTTGAAGCCAATGAAAACAAAATAAAGGTACTGATTGAAGCAAACTGCCGAATAACAACACGTGAAATCACTAAGAGATTAAATTTGTCAAATTAAACTGCTTATGATTATTTGAAACGAATTGGTTTCGTTTCAAAGCTCAATATATGGGTCCCACATGTTCTTAAAGAGAGATGCTCTCTTTGATGGGATTTTAAGAAAATTTTTTTTTGACCTTTTACCAGACAATTTAACAATTGATTCAAAAGTGTACTGCCATCGAGTAAACAAATTGAGTAATATCATCAAACACAAACAGCCAGAATTGATCAACAAAACAGGTGTAGTGTTTTACCACGATAATGTCAAATTTCACACAAGTTTGGTGACTCGTCAGAAACTGTTATAACTTAGATGGGACATACTATCACACCAACCATATTCGCCAGATCGAGTACACTCAGATTATTACTTGTTCCGGTCTATACAAATTTTTTTTAACTGTAAGACATTTACTTGAAATGACAATGTCAAAAATCACTTGGATCAGTTTTTTGTAAGCAACAATCAAAACTTTTATGAATGTGAAATCTGCTACTACCAGAAACTATGACAACAGATATTTGACCCAAATGGTCAATACATAATTCAATAAAATATTTATTTATTATAAAAATATTGTGTTATTTTCCACGAAAAAAAAACAAACTTACTTTCTGAACAACCCAATACCATAGGTTTTTATGGAATTTCATTAATTTGTTCTGGAGACTCCAAAAAATAAGAAAATATATACTTTCTATATTTATTTATATGTAATAATAAAAATACATACATATGCAGTCTTGCATTTTTATTAGTCATGTTTTTTCCATTTGTGGGGGTTAAAAAAAATCTGTCTAATGTCGATTGCTTTTCTCTCTTCTTCGGGATTTTTCAGAAGTAATTAATAGCATTGTAATTGTAGAGATACCTAAGCCTTTTAACCTCAACCTGGTTTGGACGTAACTCTAAGACTGTTGTTCTGACATCCTCCCACTTCTTCAAAAGAATGTTTAATAGCAGATATCAACATTAATTCTCTTTTTCAGAAGAAAACATATCTTGCTGAGTTTCTTGATGTTCTTCATTCACGAGTTCTTGGTGTTCTTCTGTCGTCAGATTAGTTTTGGGTTCCATTATGAGCTCTTCAATGTTATTTATATCTCAGATGTGATTTTTGTTACTCCTTAAGCTGATTGAATCTTCTTGATTATACAGTATCTTTCTTAGATAAGATTGAATTTTGGCCTACTGTAGACCAGTTCAGCCGTACTGTCCAGCAACATCAGACATCTGCCCACTCTCTACCTTTGCTATTATACTCTCACCTTTTGAGAATATAAACCAATGCAAAACTTAACAAGTGCCCACTTGATAGTTGTGCAAATACTATAAAAGAATTGTTTTTGTCAGAAAAATAAAAGGCTGGAATTACAGGGGAAAGTTTCAAAGTTTGGAGTAATACTATCCAATCAATATGTAAAGGGTTGAGTGTTGATGTCAATATCTCTCGAGCTTCTAAAATTTTTGAATTGTTGCCTGAAGACAAGGGAAGACCAATCGGTAGTTTTTATTTTACGTCACTTCTTGTGTTTGTTCTGTGAAGTGTTCGTTGTTTGAATATAAAAATCTTTCACAAAAGTGTTTGTTATCTGATTTGTTCGTTAACCAATCACCCACTGTATTTAAAATTTAAGATGTCCATAGTACTCATGACCTTTGACCTTTAGAACTTTGACCTTTAAACGTTATATGCAGAGCTTTACTGCGCTGTATGATACTTTACAAAGATACAAAATATTTTGAATATAATGATAAGTATTCAAATATTTGTATTTAATTGTGAAAATAATGGACAAAAATAATGTGAATACAGCTAAAATTGCATATATTGAGAAGAAAGGATTTTAAATATTACAAATTAAAAAGTTTTTAAAAAATATATTTATTAATTTAGATTGGAATCATGGAATCTCTCATGGACCAATTTGTCATCAGAATGCTTGCAATCTATAGTACAGAATGTCAGTCCTTCTCTTAAGCATTTTAATCTTAGTGGATGTCGAAACACATTAACGGATGAACGTATGTAATTTCTTATAAATTATAATAAAATAATAAAAGAATCATAAATATTATTTTGCAAACAATAATACAAGGGTGGTCTTTTTTACAAAGACAAGTGTAAATATCAAAATGAATTTATCACCAAAATTTAGGTACAAACATGCTTACTTTCAACATAATTACCGTGAAGATTGAGGCATTTGTTATATCTGTGGACGAGTTTTTCCATCCCCTTTTCATAGAATGCTGCTGCCAGTGAATTGAGATGGCCTTAACAACATTGTTTTGAAGATCATCATTTGTCTCAAACGTCTGCCATGCTAGCCACATTTTCAGTTCAGGAAAGAAGTGCAAGTCTTCACATATTAAAAAGTTCCAAGCTGGGTGGAAGTCTTCACCACCTGTAAACACCCAGCATATAGCCCCGGTTTAGTGCCAAGTGATTTCCACCTCTTTCCTGAACAGGAAAAGTGGCTAACGACAATCTTCAAAAGTTATTTACACTTGTCTTTTTTTTTATGGATTATAAATATGTCTTTTAACATGATATTCTCAAGCTTTTATCTGTGCTAAAAGTTATTTACACATTGACTACAATAGCCATCTGATTAATATTTTCTTTTTCATCTTTCATCTCTCTTGCTTTAATGTTCTGTATCCATCTTTATCTAAGTCTCTCTCTCTCTCTTTCTCTCCCTTTATTTTATTTTTTTAGTCTTAGCATTTAGAATTTGAATGAAAAATAATGAAACATACATGACAAAATCATTTTAGTCTTATTAATACTTGTCAGTAATGCTCAGTATTCTTCTAGCAATATTATTAATTATTATTAAAAGATTTTTGCATTTCAAACTTCTAGTCTTATCTGATGTGCTTTGCTTCTTAATCTATATTGCTAGTTTTATCTCAATAAATAATAATATATTTTTTAACTAAATATTTAAATAAAATTATTTAAGAGTGATTTCATTATTTGATATTTCTTATTGTTGACTTTTAGTAATTCTTTTACATATCATATGCTCTAAATATTTCTTTATTAGCACATTAATTGCTGATTTGAAATTTCATCTTTTCCCTAATACTTCATAACTACTTCAGTTTTTTATGACCAAATATCTACTTAAGAAAGATAATGAAAACTTTATTTTATAAAATAAACAAATAATTCAAGATAAAATTACTAATCCAGCAGTAATTATTTATGACAGCCATTTGAGATTCTAATACCTGATTTGTTTATCAGGTATTAGAATCTGCTTTTATATATTCTCTAAAGATACCATTTTTATCTTTAGAAAATATATAAACTTCTCTATTTCAAAAAAAAAATTCTCATTATAAATTAGAACCTTCATAGAACTGTATGAGAGACGTTTTCCATCATTACTTTTTAAAGTATATATCAATTGAATTTAACATATTGGTATTTACTAGTTGATTTAAAATTAATTGTATAAAAATCAATTTAGAAATGGGTTTTATAGTAAATGAGAGTTATCTAAATCTAGATTTTCAGCAAAAAATGAAGAAAATTCCTTCAAGCACTGCACTGACAAAATAGTTCTAAAAAGCAACAAATCCAGAATTTTTACTTTTTTACTCTTAATATGATATACATCTTTACTAACTGAAACAGATATTAAATCAGTTGATATATACTTGAAAAAGTTTTAAAGACATCTTTATTTTTTGGCAGAAAAGTTTGTTTAGTTGACATGAAATAAATCCAATAACATTTTTGGCCTGAATGAAAAATTCCCTTATAATATTTAGTATTAATATAAAAAAATTAATTTTTAATTTCTTAATCAAATTTTTTTGTAGAAAATTGATGACTGTTAAGTCTAACAATTTTTCCTTTACATAGAATTGAACATTTCAAATGTTGTTTAAGTGTTCTTTTTCCATCTTAACAAAATCTGAGAATATTTGTGCTTCAAATAAGCTACACTTCTTAATTATCTGTTATTTAAAACTGTTTCAGTATTAAATATTTTGATCATTTATTTGCCAATTAAAAAAATTTGTTTATTGTTAGAGGTCTGCTTCAGTTTGTATTTTGCTATATAATTCTTACTTCATACTAACATTATAAGAAAAATAGTTCAGTTTTTCTTCCTCATATGATTTGATCACATCAAATCACAACAAAACACATCATCATTGTAAAGTTAAAATTCTTTCCTATTTTATTTTTTCAATGTTTACTCTCATATTGTTTGAGTGATTATCATATTTGAATTATTGTTCAAAATACACCATAATTATTTATGCTTAGCTAAAGTAAAATAGAAAAGTTCTGAATTTAATATGAAATATTATGCATAAATTCTTAATTATATTATTATTTTATCATATACTGATTATTTTTTCACTCATATTTTTTATATATATGTATATATATATTTTTTTAATAGATGTTTCAAGTTTGGTTGAAAATTGCCCTGATATTATAGATTTGGATTTGAGTGATGCAACACTATTAACGGGTTTAACTATCGATTTCATTATTAATGGTCTTCCAAAACTGCAACATCTACATTTGAGTAGATGCTATAATATTCCTTCAATTAGTTATTTGTAAGTAATATCTACTGTATTATTAAATTTTAAAATATTAAGTTTAAATCATACATTTATTTATTTGTATTAGATCACTAAGCAATATTTCATCTCTTCAACAATTTGTTTGTTTTGGAATTTTGACTGAAACAGCACTTCAAACTCTGAGGGGTAATCTTCCAAACATAGAAATTAATAGACATTTATTTTCTTTTATTGCCAGGCCAACTACTGGTATAAGAAGAACTAGTATTTGGCATTTAAGAGTAAGAGACTAAAAACTAATTGGAAATTTCATTATCATTCCAAACAGATATAAGTTTACATTCTAAAATTTTGTAATTTATCATGTTTAATGTTTCAAACCATTATCATTATTTTAATTCTTTTTCCAAGTAAACATTTATATTGATGCAAGTATGTTTTGTGATTACAAAAATTTCTAATTGTTTGTTAATCCATAATGTGTTCTAGCATTATAGGGAAAAAAGTAATTTACATTCAGATACTATGAATTTTTTTCTTTTTTTTTTAAATATTGCATTCTTATAAAACTGTTTATGTAGCAATTTTAATTGAATATTGTTAATAATTTTTGAATATTTATTAAATTAAAAATTACTATATATTATTTTGTATATATTGTGATTACTTATTTGATTTTCGATGTTTGTAATTTGATATAAGTTTGAAATAAATAAATATTTTTAAAAAATTGAAAATTGTTGTTATGAAATTAATTTTTTATTCGTGCTGATAAGATATTTCTGTTCTCTGCCACTGTGTTATATGCAACATCCAATAATGGCAGATAACTAATTTATCTGAAAATGACAGCATTTTTTAAAAATGTTGTTACAAGATCTGGTTTTATCAAAGAGATCAAGATTTCAGAGAATAAAATCTTATTAAATTTATTAATTTTAATGATGGCCAGGTGGCTGAGTGGTTAAGGCATTGACCTACCATTCCTAAAGGGAGCCATAGGAATTTTTATGGACTGTCTGGCTTTATTCCTTGTCTCCATAATGGGCACGGAAAAATGCCTTCTGTATTCACAGGGCAGAAAGTGTAAAAAAAAAATTAATGATATAACAATGTCGTAAATTGTTTAAATAATATAAAAGAATGCTTAACAGTAGAATGACAAAGAATTTGACAAATGATAAGTTCACTGAGGAATTCTGGATAGTGCTAAATTTTGAACAAGCATTGATTATTTCCTCATGTCAGGTTAATTAATTATATCATATAATTTTATTGAAAACCAGTAAAAAGAAAAAATATACAGTAAATAAATTTTAACAATGTTGTATAGGATATACTTGTCCCATAATAAATGAAACATCTCTGCTTTCAGCAGTTAAATTACAATTAATATGAAAAGTAGCACACAGGATAGTATAAAAATAAAGACATTAGCGGTAAATTTCTACAAAAATATAATTCTGGGATACATGATAAAGACTTCATCTTGGGAAGATGAAAATTTTTCTCATATTATGCCAAATTACATCAATTCTAGTGGAGAATATGGAACAAATAGTCATATGAAAGACCTGCACTGAATTCCCATCAAAAATAGTAATTTTCAAGAAAATTAGCAATTATACAATGAGTTTGAGGTAAACTGCATTTCATCTAGCCATAAATGTGTCAAAATCAGCAGTATACAGAGTTATAAAATTATCTAACATCTACAAAATAAGAAAACAAAACAAATTCTGCCTCTAAATAATTGCCAGAGAGACAAGCCTTTGACTAAGGATAAATATCACATGACGTGGACTCAAATGGCAACAAGTTATAAGAAGTGATGAGAGCAGGGCTGTGGAGTCGGAGTCGTGGAGTTTTGGTGTTTTAGCCGGAGTCGGATGGTAAGGAAAAGTCGGAGTTGGAGTCGGTAGATTTTCACGCAACTCTACAGTCCTGGCAGTGCTGCGGAGTCGGAGTCGTGGAGTTTTGGTGTTTTAGCCGGAGTCGGATTGGTAAGGAAAAGTCGGAGTTGGAGTCGGTAGATTTTTACACGACTCCACAGCCCTGGATGAGAGGAAATTCAATGCAGATGGGCCAGATAACTGGAGAAACTATCAGCACGAGATTAGGGGAAAATAATTAAGTACTCATTATATAAAATTAAATTAATGTAAAGACATAAGAAGTAAAACCAATAATAATAATAAATTCTTATCCTTACTTATTTCCATAAAAATGTCATTTAAATTAGTGTTAAACATATGAGTGACAATGAATGATTAAGAACAAATTTAATAAAAAAAAAATTTCGGAAGTTGCGAAGGCATTAAGGCGCTCGGACATTTTCAAATGTGATCTGATTCTTCTCCAAATTAGTTGATGACAGAGAAGTGTTAAACGTTAATCAAGTTTGTTTTTCTAGTGACGAGTAAATTATCATATAGGGATACTTATTGTAAAAATTCAGAATTTTTACAATGCGCACACGGCAGAAATATTCACATGCTTCTATGACAATAAATTACCATCCACGAAGTTGTGTTCCCAAAGTAATATTAAAAATGTCTTTTTTATTAACAAAATTGGTCTTGAATAACGATAATTTTGTTTATATCTTATCCTCTTCCCAAGTAAATTATAAATACAGTAAATATTACGTATGAATCTCATATGTACAGTACATGAATATTCGAAAATTTTTTAAATAAATATAATAAATTTAAAAATACCAGAAATAAAGTGAAAATTATAGTTTATAAAAAATTATATTGATACCGAGTCAATATGCTTGGTCCCTATGCAAATAACAGAAATTCTAAATGTTTTTAAGTAACATCAATTTTCTTATAATTTTGAATGTTGCACCTTATTGCTTAGCACATGTCAGTCAAGTTTGACCAAAATCGGTGACACCAACGTCATTCCGATCCCTCGTTAGTAACCGGCATGACTCCATTGCCAAAGGAAAAGTATGATGTACAGGGGCAAGCTGCTACTAATTTGAGGTGGAGAGCGTATATTTTAAATAAATAAATAAAATTCCAACTCCGCATTGTGACGATGTCACAATAAATAATTGCTCGTTTTTGTTTCTTTGTCTTTCAGGAAACGTTGGTTCGACACCGTTGTCTTCTGCGATTTGAATCACACTACTTATTGCGGATTCAAATGGTTCTTTAAGTTCTAAATTTATTTAAATCGTCTATTAGTTTTTAACCCGATTATTGTCGTTTCAAGAAAGCGTGTAAACGATGGATTATAGTCAAGATGGACTGATGATAATGAACGCAGAGCCCAAGCGGTTAGGAGTTGAAATTTGGTACACCGGATACGCCATGAGAATGCACACTAAGAAGGGATTTTTGGAAAGGGGGTTAAAGATTACCCTGAAGAACTACTACTACTGTACTATTTTAGATGCATTTTTGCGGAGAAACAAACATATTTTTGACCCATTTGAAACTTCTCTAATTAGTCTCGGAAGAGGGGAAACAATTCTTGCACACGGTGAAAACGGGTAAGATCGTTTATATAACTATAAAGGTTATCTTGCGTAAGTGTTTATCACACCGAATGACCAATCTAACAGAATTTAAAAATTCTTTACTCCTCTACTGTATACAATTTAGAGAATTTTTAAAATGTGTTAGATTGGACATTCGGTGTGATAAACTCTTAGGCAAGATAATCTTTATAAATAAAAATCAAATACTATAATATAATATAGTAGAAGGGTTAGAAGTACGAAATAATCTAATAATCTTAATCTTTGTTGTTTTTATTTTTTGCCGGAGTAACGCCGGGCTNTAATAGAGAGGTTGAGGCGCACGTTTTAAACGTGTAAACGTGTACGTGTGACGTTCGGCGCCGCTTTCCCGTAAGCCTAAAAGTTTGACGATGGTGTTTGGAATGTCGAGCGTGATTCCACCGACTATCCAAACACCATTGTCAAACTTTTAGGCTTACGGGAAAGCGGCGCCGAACGTCACACGTACACGTTTACACGTTTAAAACGTGCCCCTCAACCTCTCTAATATAATATAGTAGAAGGGTTAGAAGTACGAAATAATCTAATAATCTTAATCTTTGTTGTTTTTATTTTTTGCCGGAGTAACGCCGGGCTCATCTGCTAGCATTATATAATTAACCCGTTTTCTGGTATTTTATACTATATTCTTTTTAATTGTATTTAAATTTATTTGTTAATCATTGTTTTTGTTATCGTTATGTATTTTATTTGAGGTTTAAATGTTAACTAGAAGGGAGGAAATCTATTGTCTCGAGACTTTTCTAATGTGATTTGAAATAAATAAATAAATAAATTTTCAAGAGCATTGTCCAATTTAATAAAACAAAATTTCAATACAAATACTAGTTGTATCTTGCTTGCTTGCCATGTCTGCCAGCCCTTTTTTACAAAAAAAAGCATTGTCCAAGTTAAAATCGAAACTTTGAAATATTTTGCTGACAACATTAACTTAAAACATCATGCCAAATAATAATGGAACAAATAAATTTAAATGAATGTGTTGCCTTGAAATCCAGTGTTCATATCTTTATTTGAATAATTTGCAATGTCTCGTAAAACGGAATATATTTCTTTAGTTTGCGATTTCTTGATCGAATCCGAACGGGTCGAAAAATCCGCAGGAATTTTTCGGGGGTGGTCCGACCGGATATTTCAGTCTCCGTCCCTCAACACCAGGCTACCCTATCGTGGGTCAGGCCGAACACATAATGGACTTTCTAAAAGACACCCTCTTAGTGCCCTCGGGCGGAAAGGGTTTTAAAAAACAAAGTCTAATTGCCTCATTTCTCTAATTTTTTATGACCATTATCACGACGTTCATTTAATGAACGTCGTGATAACTGCTGGTCAATAATGAACTTCATTATTGGGTTGCAATTTGAAAAAATTTTAGACCTATAAATTCCCACTGTCATCTGGCCACTTCCGCCTGTCTTTCCTTAATCTCGAGAATAGAGTTAGGTAGATGTAAGACCAGACCAGATATGGAAACCGTAGGGGCAGGAGACCGAAAAGATTCAAACCGAAAGTTACGTTATATCAATTCAAAACTTTTCCCCCGAAAACTGTTAGATAGATGACCGATACTACTCCATTGCTTACGGAAAAGTATGATATACAGGGAGAAGACACTACAGTACTAATTTGAGGTGGATAGCATTGCAACCCAGTAATGTGCAGAAAAATTGCAGCCCAGCAATGTGGCAATGTTACAATAAATAATTGCTCTTTATATGGCACTTTTGTTTAACTGGTGCCGTTGTGCAGTGAACAACCTGCTCGCCTACTTGCGCCGGCCCTGCTTTCGACACTGTTGTTTATAGCAGAAATTAAGGATTTATCATGTCTTTGGGACTATATAACTGCTGCGTATCAACAACCGAATAGAAAAAAAGGCGTGGGTATGCCTTTGCTCAAATTTTATGAAAATTTCGAAAGGAAGAATAAAAAAAAGAGAAGAATGAGTATTTTAAGTATACCAGTAACCAAGCCAAGAGGAAGACATCCTCCGTAGAAAAAGGAAAG